CTGTGTCGTCGTCAGACTCCTCGCTGTCCACAGCTTTGCTCTCCTTGTGACCCGGCAGCTCTCTGGTCCAGATCATCAGCGCTGTATCAGCCCCGCCCACTGTCAGCAACACTGTGTCATCGTTGGACCAGCGGACATTGGTCACGTTGGAGCTGTGACCCACATACTTCTTAAACTTGGCAAACTGGCCCTGAGGTCAGAGGTCAGAGGTTAAGATGAACAGAGCCTTTGAAAGTAGACGTTTTGAGACGTGGCGTGGACTCCTCTCTCACCCTGGACGGGAAGCTGAAGAGTTTGAGGAAGCCGAAGTCGTCTCCGGTGGCCAGCAGTTTGCGGTCTTTGGTGAGCGAGGCGGCGTTAATGAAGCTGAGCGTTGGCCATATCCCCTCACAGGTGGGACCGAAAACGGACGTCCAGCTCGCCCATTCCAGCTTCTCGAACTGAAACAGAAACACGGCATGACCTCTGCAGTTCAGTCGAAACGCCTCACCAGAGCTGTCGGCGCGCTCCTGACCTCGGCCACGCTGATGTTCTGTCTGCGTCCTCGCGGCGCCTCAAAGAATAGCTGCTCTTTGGCTCCGGTGTTCACCTGCAGCAGCTTACCTGTAGAGGTAGCACATGAGAGTCTGACACCACCTCACCGTCATGTAAAGCTGCAGCCTGCTATTAGTGGAAAGTGTGTCCTGAAGGTGGCGCTAGTGACCGCAGCACAGGTGAGTCTCACCTCTGGAGTCCCAGTCGATGTGAGTGACGTAGCTTCTGGCTCCTTTGCAGATGCCGACTCTCTTGCTGGTCAGGACGTTGTAGATGTCCACAAAAGAGTCGTGCGAGGCCACAGCCAGGTACTTCCCCGCATCTGAAACACACACCTGACTCATCAGCGACCCACCGGTGACCTTCATCCTGTGCCACACCTGTGCGCTGAGTTCAGGTACCTTGGGAGAAGCGGATGTCTGAGATGAGCTCTCTGCGATGGTGAAACGTCACCATGTCTTCCAGCGTGTCAGCGTTCACCACCAGGAAGCTGCCATCATTTAGGCCGACCGCCAGAGCTTTCCCGTCCGGAGAGAAGGCACAGCACCGCCCACCTGACAGGAAACACAGCACAGGTAAGAAAGAGAGCACGCCAAGGTTTCACATTTGCTCGTCTCACCTTTCTTGAGCTTGCGGACAGCCACCATGCGGTGATTGGCTGACAGCTCCCAGATCCTCAGAGTTTTGTCGTCACTGACGGTGGCACAGACAGGAAGTAGAGGGTGTGCCGCCAAACCCCACACCTCGCCCTCCATGTGTCCCTGGCACACACAGGTGTGAGGTGTACAGGTGACTGTGTCAGTGCACTGTAGCGATTCAATCTCAGTGAGGTGGGGGCGGAGCAGGAGAGCCCGTGACAGATTGGTGAAGTTAACTTACCTGCACCAGCAGCGTCATGGGGCCGCTCTTATCGATCTCCAGGATCTCTCCGTTCTTGGTTCCCAGCAGGATGTGACCGTGGCCCAGCGTGATGGCTCTGATGGACGGGTTGTCCTCCAGCAGCAGCCCTGCTCAGAAAACACGACCGATCACCTTCAGGCGCTCGCGCCGTTCAAAAACACCCCGATGCTGGCGTCCCCTACCTTTAGAGGACGGAGACAGGACGGCCCGCTTGATGGCGTACGTTTTCAAACATCTCTCAAACATGTCGTCCCAAAGCTCCACGATGCCGTCTTTCCCCCCCGTCACAAAACCCTGGACACAGGAAGCAAAAATGCAAACAAGTCTGTGGTTATGATTTTATTTTGAAAGGATCGTTGTCATGCTTCCGGGTTACCAGTGTTTTTGAGTTCTTGTGTTACTTTGTATTCATGTTCTCGGTTCATGAGTTTGGTGTGTCTGTGTCTTCTTCCCCTTTCCTGTTCCCTTGTCCTCCTCCTCACGTTTCTCCTCCCCAGCCTGTCATGTCTCCCCTCTCGCGCTCTCTCTGTGTCTCGACCACCTTAACTGCCCCCCCCCCGTTAGCTCATTTCCCTGAGCGTTCTCCCCTGTCATGTGCCATGTGGTGCGAGTGCTTCCTGTTTTACTTTGATAGTCTCCTGTGTGACGTGTGTCATGTTTCCCTGCCTCATTACTTAGATCACCTTCGGCTGAGTTCCCTCCTGTGTGTTTAGTTTAGTTCTGTATCTCCTGCAGCATAAAGCTGTGTTTTGAGTTGCGTCCTGCCTTTGCGTCCTCTGCTGCCTGCAGCCACTTCTTGACAATCATCTTCAATCATCAATCAATCATGTAAAAGATCGTTTTTGTCCATGCTCGTATTACTCCACCCTGCTACAGACTCAACCCTCCTCCACTTTAGATAACAAAGGATGAAGCGTCACCTTGTCCAGGGAGCACATGGCGAACACGGGGCCGTCGTGGGCTTTGATGGTCTTGATAAGCATCGTGTCTCTCCAGATGTAAACGTCTCCGTTCGTGGCTCCGGAGAAAACGAGGTCCTCGGATCGACCGTAACACGCCGACATCATCGTCTCCTGTTTCCCCAGGTTCCCGAAAATCCCGCGTTTGAAGGTCAGACCGCCGCCTGCGGGACGGGAACGGATGTTTACAAGCATCCATTTAAAAAGAAACGTTTTAAAGTTCACGTTTTATCAGAGCGTGAATAAAACCACCACATGTGGGTAGGGCTGCCACAAACGATTATTCTGATAGTCGACTAGTCACCGATTATTTTTGCGATTAGTCGACTAATCAGATCATCATCCATTGAACGTACAGCTTATTGCACCAGCAGCATCTGCTCTTATATAACTATCATTAGCTTACAGCTTTAAGTGTTTAAGGTCTGTGCTAACTAAAAATAAAGACAAGATGATAGTTTATTAAATTTTAATTAAATTTGCAGATTGTTTCGGTGAAGTTTAATAAACTCCTTGCTATCTAAAATATAACAGGACACCGGAGTAAATTCTCCAGCGTCTCACACTTCTGATAATCAGCTGTCTGCTTGATGTTTATTCAGCTGTGTAAAAACTTTAATCTCAGCCAAACAGATTTACTCAGGAACAAATAAAATACTGAAAAAAGCCAAACAATAACATTTTTAAGTTATCTAAGTGACTCATATATCATGTTTAACCTGAGTAGCGAAAGACGGCGGTGGGTTTGAAAACGATCTGCCGGGAGTCCGGTGTTCTCACGGCTCTAGTGAGCCTAGCCCCCGGCTAGCTATCGAGCTAGTGGGTAACAGACGTTTCCGAAAACGTCGGAGCGCTTTTGAAAATATGCGGTGTCCTGATAAACTGAGCAGATATTTGAGGTTTACACAGCTACATTCTCACCTGAAAATATGTTAAACGTTTATTTTGTGACCCAGAAAGAATAATAAGAGTAACATTAAAACTTGTCACTACCCGATCCGTACCGGAAATCCGATGGGTACCCCGCATGCGCGAAAGGTTTCTACTTCCGGTCGTAGCGTTTTACGATATGGTAATGGCCTGCATTTGTATAGCGCTTTTCTAGTCCATAGGACCCCAAAGCGCTTTACACTACATTCAGTCATCCACCCATTCACACACACATTCACACACTGGCGATAGCAAGCTACATAGTAGCCACAGCTGCCCTGGGGCGCACTGACAGAGGCGAGGCTGCCGGACACAGGCGCCACCGGGCCCTCTGACCACCACCAGATAGTTAAGATAAGATAAGATAGAACTTTATTAGGGTTATGGGTCAGAGTATCTGTTAAGATGTTAAGAATAACAAGTATCTCTTAAAATGTTTGCAATAATGAAACATTTCAATATAATGTAGACAAAAACGAAAAATAAAAAGAAAGTTACGGCTCAGGACTCACCGATCCTTACTGCGCATGTGTAAAGTCTGACCGTACAAATCGGGTCTACCCGATCCGTACCGCGCATGTGCAGATGCTTTCTTCTTCTTCTGTTCGTTTAATGGCAGTTTACTCCCCAGTGTACGAGGATACCGCCACCTGCTGACCGAGCGAATAAACCCTATTATAAACTGAATTATCGTCATTACAAACGTGTGTTAAATCTGATTTAGTGATAGTCGAGTGTGTTTATGCTCGTCTGTGAGGAGAGGATTGTTGGAATAGTGATGATGATGTCAATTGTCAGTTAACACTTCATCTGGCTGATGAATCTACACGTGAGATATTACAAAGTCTGTATTATTAACTCTGTAATTAGGCGCCATTCTTCTTATTTTACGGCGCTGTTGCTCAATCGGGGGACGCTCTCTGTTGAGGAGAAAAGCATGAATTTCTTTGTATACGGATTATCCATTGTTTAAATGTCCCGGTAGTCGAAAAGGAGTCAGAGCTGTTGAGAAATGCTAGGAGCTAACTGGGCGCTAACCGTATCATTCAAATATATTGAATGTCGCAATGTTGGCAAAGAGAGGAAGTGACGTAAGATTTGCGCATGCGGGGTACCGATCGGGTTTCCGGTACGGATCGGGTAGTGACAAAACTAACTCGCTGCCGCCCCTTAAATATGATAATGTTTGGAGTGTTTTTGAAAGAAAAGAAAGCTAATTATGGTGTTAATGTGTTATTAATCTTGTGCAAGCATTTTATACATAAATGTCGCTTTTTTAAGACCAAACCAACACTTGCTCACTGGAAAAACGACTTAAACCTGTTGGTTAAATCTTTGACTTTAGTTAAAAAGAAAAAGGCTGCTCTGTAATTACAGAGTTAATAACACAGACTTTGTAATATCTCACGTGTAGATTCATCAGCCAGATGAAGTGTTTACTGACAATTGACAGTGATAGCGCACATCATCATCACTATTCCAGCAATCCTCTCCTCACAGACAAGCATAAACACACTCGACTATCGCTAAATCAGATTTAACACACGTTTGTAATGACGATAATTCAGTTTATAATAGGGTTTATTCGCTCGGTCAGCAGGTGGCGGTATCCTCGTACACTGGGGAGTAAACTGCCATTAAACGAACAGAAGAAGAAGAAAACATCTGCACATGCGCGGTACGGATCGGGTAGACCCGATTTGTACGGTCAGACTTTACACATGCGCAGTAAGGATCGGTGAGTCCTGATCCGTAACTTTCTTCTTATTTTTCGTTTTTGTCTACATTATATTGAAATGTTTCATTATTGCAAACATTTTAAGAGATACTTGTTATTCTTAACATCTTAACAGATACTCTGACCCATAACTATCGTAAAACGCTACGACCGGAAGTAGAAACCGGGTTTCCGGTACGGATCGGGTAGTGACAGTGACAAAACTAACTCGCTGCCGCCATTGTTGGAAACTGAGCTGGGCTGCGCTATGAATTCTGGGACACAGCTTCTTCTTCTTCTTCGGGGTTTAATGGCAGCTGGCATGCAGTGCTGCCATCTTCTGTTTCAGTCCGTTATTACACTCTTAAATCCTACAACTTATTCCTGCATCTTTTGGGATCTTACAAAGCTTCAAATGACGCGTCGACTATTAAATTAGTCATCGATGATTTTGATAGTCGACGTAATCGTGGCAGCCCTACATGTGGGACAGCCCCATGTGACCCCTCCTACCTCGTTGAGCTGAGCGTGTCAGGTGAGTTCCAGGTAAAGAGGAAACGACGCCTACCTGAATGTTGCCAGAACTTGATGTGTTTCATGCCCACGGTCACCAGTTTGTCCATCCTGAAAGGATTGCTCTTCACCATGAAGATCTTGTCTTTATGACCCCTGCAGACACATAAGCTTTCAGCCAATCGGCTCAAACACGTGAAACGAGACACAAACATTTCCCTCGGTGTTAATGGAAAATTGTATTTAGTAGTCAGTATAATCTTTTAGTGATATAAGTTTGCATATGGTAGAATACTGCATGTAGTTATTTGTATTAGGAAATATTCAACCATGTATACTTAGAGGCATATAATCAATTGTGTGTGATCTTTAACAGGCTGCAAAGGCTTGGTGTGTATTCCACACTAGAATGCACACCCACATCCTGGGAGCACGAGAGAGGTCATACCTTCTCTTATTGTTTTATGGTAGGATTAACGTACACTGAACAAAAATATAAACGCAACACCTTTGTTACTGCTCCCATTCCCCATGGGATGGACGTAGAGACCTAAAATTCATTCCAGATACACAATATAACCATCCCTCCCAAACAGTGGTCACAAATCAGTCCAAATGTGTGGTAGTGGGCACATCTGCTATATTGAGATAATCCATCCCACCTCACAGGTGTGCCACATCAGGATGCTGATCTGACATCATGAGTAGTGCACAGGTGTACCTCAGACTGCCCACAACAAAAGGCCACCCTGGAATGTGCAGTTTTTTGTGCTATTGGGGGTCTGGGGACCCAGAACCGGTCAGTATCTGGTGTGACCACCATTTGCCTCATGCAGTGCAACACATCGTCGCATGGAGTCTATCAGATTGTCAATTGTGGCCTGTGGAATGTTGGTCCACTCCACTTCAATGGCTGTGCGAGGTTGTTGGATATTCATGGGAACTGGTACACGCTGTCGTATACGCCGGTCAAGCACATCCCGAACATGCTCAATGGGTGACATGTCCGGTGACTATGCTGGCCATGCAAGAACTGGGACATTCTCAGCTGCCATCTGCCCTGAACAATGTGAACCATGATTCATCCGTGAAGCGCACACCTCTCCAACGTGCCAGACGCCATCGAATGTGAGCATTTGCCCACACAAGTCTGTTACGGCGACGAGCTGGAGTCAGGTCAAGACCCCGATGAGGACGACGGGCATGCAGTTGAGCGTCCCTGAGACGGTTTCTGACAGTTTGTGCAGAAATTGTTTGGTTGTGCAAACCAATTGTTCCAGCAGCTGTCTGGGTGGCTGGTCTCAGACGATCTTGGAGGTGAACCTGCTGGATGTGGAGGTCCTGGGCTGGTGTGGTTACACGAGGTCTGCGGTTGTGAGGCCGGTTGGATGTGCTGCCATATTCTCTGAAACGCCTGTGGAGACGGCTTATGGTTGAGAAATGAACATTCAATGCACGGGCGACAGATCTGGTTGACATTCCTGCTGTCAGCATGCCAATTGCACGCTCCCTCATTGCTTGTGGCATCTGTGGCATTTTGCTGTGAGACAAAACTGCACATTCCAGGGTGGCCTTTTGTTGTGGGCAGTCTGAGGTACACCTGTGCACTACTCATGATGTCAGATCAGCATCCTGATGTGGCACACCTGTGAGGTGGGATGGATTATCTCAATATAGCAGATGTGCCCACTACCACACATTTGGACTGATTTGTGACCACTGTTTGGGAGGGATGGTTATATTGTGTATCTGGAATGAATTTTAGGTCTCTACGTCCATCCCATGGGGAATGGGAGCAGTAACAAAGGTGTTGCGTTTATATTTTTGTTCAGTGTAGTTACGTCTGTTTTAGTCTAAGTGCTTTAACTGCTTGACTTCCTCACCAATGTTATCTAGGGTGAGGGAGGTCTACCCTCTTCCTGACCAAGGATGTGCCTTTTATGACCCTTTGATCAGCAGGACACACACACACACACACACACGTTCAATGGAGTATAAAATAAAGACCAGGTCAGCTCCTCACCGGAGTCTCTCAGTAGGGAGCTGCCCTTGCTAGCAAGAACTCTGTGTGTTTCTCTTCTCTGAGTCTTTACTGAAGAAGTGTTTTAGAATATTTTCCCTAACACTCGGCAACCACTGCGAGAAACTGTGAGCTTACAAAAGCACGACCATCTTACGGCAGGACTAGCTGACTTAATCCAGGTGTGTTTACCTGGCCTTGGCTAGTCTCTCTCCTTTCTTCCAGTCCCAGATGATGATGGAGTGAAATTCATCGAATCCCACTGAGATCAAACTCTTCCCATCAGCTGAGAAGTACCAAGAGAGGAGTTACGTCAGAAAGCAGTGTGAAGGAAGGATTGGGAACAACAGCTGTTTCTACTTGAGCTAACCCGCTGAGTTAGCGATAACAGGTGAGGGCTTAGGGATAGAAATATTGATGCCCGATGGCACGGCGTGCAGTCAGCTTACCTGTGAACTCCAGAGCACACACGCCCCTGCTGTGGTGTCCTTTGAGCAGCGACAGACACTTCAGGGTCTGGATGTCCCACACATGTATGGCCGGGTCTCTGCCCACCTGTACACAGGAACAGCCAATCAGAAACCGTCTCGGAAACGCAACATGCTGCGATCGGCCGGGCATACCTGTGCCGAGGCCACGTAGTCTTTGAGCGGGTGGACGGCGAGGCTGAGGATGTCATCGTCGTGCCCGAGATAAAACCTCTGGCTGTGCTGCAGCCGGTTGTAGACGACAGCGACGGCGGCCACGTGGTACACCACCTCTCCCGCCTGACTGTAGAACAGGTTGTTACGGCAGTCGAAGCCCCGGTACCTGCAGCAAACAGGAAGCAGCACAAACGGAGGTTTATTTACATTATTTACTCACGAGACCAGATCCATGTCTGATGTGGATAGTTTACCCGTGAACAAACTGCAGACGAAGCCCCTCCTCTGGAGCTTTCTGCCGCTTCAGGGAACCAATCAGCTTCTTCTTGAGTTGTGGCAGGTCCTCCTTATACACCTGCAGACAGAGACAGGTGAGTCAGACGGCTTTTTGACTGCAGGTGGGAGCGTTTGTGTCCCAGTCACCTGACGTTCGTAGCTGGTCTGAGCTTCCTGTTCGATGTCCGAGTCGAGCTCCGGCACATCTGACACGTCTGAGTCCGACTCGCCGCTGTTGGAGTCGGCGTAACCCTCTGAAGACACGGCACGGGTGAAAAATATGAGTCAGCGATAAGCAGAGGTGACGCTGAAAAACTAGTTCATGCATTTATTCCTTCCAGACTGGACGACTGTAATTCATTATTATCAGGAAGTCCTAAAAACTCCCTGAAAAGCCTTCAGCTGATCCAAAATGCTGCAGCAAGAGTCCTGACAGGGACTAGAAAGAGAGAGCAGATTTCTCCTGTTTTGGCTTCCTGTTAAATCCAGAATTCAAAATCCTGCTCCTTACATACAAGGTCTTAAATAATCAGGCTCCATCTTATCTTAATGACCTTGTAGTACCATATCACCCTATTAGAGCACTTCGCTCTCGCTCTGCAGGCCTACTTGTTGTTCCTAGAGTATTTAAAAGTAGAATGGGAGGCAGAGCCTTCAGTTTTCAGGCCCCTCTTCTGTGGAACCAGCTTCCAGTTTGGATTCAGGAGACAGACACTATCTCTACTTTCAAGATTAGGCTTCAAACTTTCCTTTTTGCTAAAGCATATAGTTAGGGCTGGACCAGGTGACCCTGAATCCTCCCTTAGTTATGCTGCAATAGACGTAGGCTGCCGGGGATTCCCATGATGCACTGGGTGTTTCTTCTTCACTCTGTTTTTACAGGGCATTCTGTACTTTTGTCATGTGTGGCAATAAGTTAGCTCGAGTTTTCAAATGGAGAAGGTGCGAGGCGGGACAAGAACAGTGATTTGGATCATTATGAATAATCTGCAGCTGCAGGAGGAGACTGGATTTGGAGACCTGATTCTTACGGTGCGTTCACACCGAACGCGATAGAAGCGACCAAAAAGCGCCAGACGCCCCTGGCTGGTCGCGTGCACATTCGCACCTCGAAGCGTGTCCAAAGCAAACTGGTCGCACTTAATATGCAATAGGGAAGCGGAAATGTGGGCGGAAGTAATGCCAGATGGTATGTTTGCAAGATGGCAGCTGTCGATCTAGCGTTTGAAGAGAGGTTCTCCCTTCTCTATTTACTGTGGAGAGCAGAGCAGCGGCGTAATTGGACGTGATGGTTATCAAAACCAAACAAGCGCAGGAGACACGACACGGAGGAGATTTGTCAATCAGGCTGCAGAATGCAATGCGCATTGTTGAAAGTTGTACTGTGCAATAAAAAAACCTGCGAAAACGTGAGGCAGTGACGGATGAAGAGCGGGACCACGGTGTGCTGTTTATTAATAAACAAAAACATATATTCCTATATGACAACATGCACAAATTAACTGCCTACATTAATTCATTGTAAACAGGCAGCTGGTGTCATACAGCTCCGGGTGGTAGGCTACGGCGTTGATGAGCCTTTCCTCCATATTGAATGAAGAATGAAGGGCTTTGGCTGGACCTGCCCCTTTGAACCAGGTCAGAGCATCACGTCATCAGGCTCCTGATTGGAGTTCAGATTTTTCCAACTCGAGTGGTAGATGCGATAAGTGCGAATGCACAAAATGCAACACAAACTGCAGCGCGTGTTTTCCATCGCATCAGTCGCGCTAATTGTTTGCGCGAATCAGGCAGAAAAGCGTTTTTGCGACACCAATCTGCTTCTGAAGTTTCGCGGGAACCCCAGTCGCGCTTCATCGCGCTCCTCCATTGACCGTAAACCTGAAACTCTGGTCGCTTCTGTCGTGTTCGGTGTGAACGCACCATTATGACCTGCAAAGACTTTAGGATGATAAAAGAGTCAAGCTCAGTTTGTTGATTTAGTTTAACTGCTGAAAAGTTTCTGGGAGGTCCGCGCCGTCATCATCTGCAACTAAAGGAAAGCTCTGCGTCACCTTGTAGGAGGGGCTCCAGAACACCGTTCATCACACCTTCGGGCAGGAACCTCCACTGGAAGACGGCGTGGTCGGCACCACCGGTGCTGATGACCCACTGCAGATCGCTGGACCAGCGAACGTTGGTCACATGGGCAGAGTGACCAATGTACTTCTTAAATTTGGCCCCTGTGTGATGTTAGAAACACAAGAATAAGAACGCACATCACTCCAGAAACATCCTCATCAAATCTATTCTGTCCCACGCCTGTAACTCCGGGTCTAATGACTAAGACTCAGAATTAGGACGACCTCAGAGGTCCACCACTCAGCCGGACTCTGTGGATCCTCAGTAAAAATGTTATCGGCTTGCATCACTCGCCTTTCTTCAGGCAGGGGAACCTGAAGAGCTTGACGAGGCCAAGGTCATCGCCAGCCACCAGCACAGCGCTGCTGTAGTTGGCGTCCACGGAGTTTACGTTGGTGACGTTGGAGTATTTGACCCAGATGCCGTTCACCTCCGGCCCGACAACACCGGTCCACGTCATCCAGTGAATCCCTTTCGCCTCCTCTTTAGGAACCAGCTTTCCCGCTGCAGGACAGGGAAAGGAAGTAGGTAAGACCCACAAATCTGCACCATCAAGTCCCACAACTGGTCCCAGGTAAGGACAGGTGAGCTCCAATTAACCCTTGTGTTGTCTTTCGGACATTTCTGTCCTCTACAGAAATTTTGCTATCAAAAATGGGGTTTTTAATCATCAAATGGTCTGACAGTAACAGTTATTCAGTACTATGCTATGCATGACTGGACTAAGTTTTAAGTAATTTGATTTATTTATGGATTTTGTATTAGATTTTATAACACCTGTGGTCCTCGGGGACAAACATGTCCCCAAATTACAAAGGGTTGCAAAGGGTCACATTTACACACCAAACATCTTTGATCTTGGATCACTGATGTGTGGGGTCGAGCAAAGGTCATAACCACAACAACACCAACAGGCAGCACAATGAGGAGGCAGGTGCTCTGCATTCCATTCAATTGTATTTTTACAACAGCATCAAGGTGCTTCATACTGTAAGGTAGACCCTACAATAATACATACACAGAAAGTATGTTCACAAGCCTCCACTGCACTTGAGGCTTGTGAATTCTGTTCTTGTTTATGACCTCAAAACGATTTTATGTACACGGTGTTAGGATAAATCTGTCAGATGTTTTAGTACGACTTTGCTGAGCTACGAAGCCGCACCGCTTGATGGATTGTCGGAGCATTACGGCTATCGTAGGCGGAGCGATACGTACTGTGCTTCAACATAATGTTACTGTACTGTGTGTGTTTAACCTCTTTTTAAGTTTTGTGGATATTATACATGGTTATGCTGAGGATGTGTCGGCCAGTTTCCACTGGAAACGCCTTTTGGTCAAACTGTCAGCGAGGAATTTGCACTGTTACATTTTTATATAACTTTAATGCACTTAAAACAGCTGCTTCTTTAAGTGAAAATACACTGATGGGTTTTTTTGCACTAATAAAGTTGTGGAGTTGTAAAGTATTTTGTCTCGTGTCAATTATATCGTCAGTTATATCGTTATCGCAAATTTTCAAATGTATATCGTGATAAATATTTTTGGCCATATCGCCCTGCTCTACTTCCCAGTGACAGACAATGCCTGACTCTCTCATGAGCCTCAGAGAAAGACAGTCTACCACAGTCCAAGCACATGTGCCAGGTCCCATACTCCTGCGATTGCTTTTCTACTCGAGCACTGAAAGAATTACACACAGTGTATTCTGCTTGTTTTATGCTTTTCAAAGTTCACATGCCAATGGATGCATCAGAGACCAAGTTGGGGTTCAGTAACTTGCCCAAGGACACCTTGGTAAGAACTCCAGACTAGAGCACACAGAGATTGAACCAACAACCATCCAATTAGCAGATGACCTGCTCTACAGCCAACTCAATGACGAACAAGGAGGGACAACAAGAGAGGAAGAAAAATGGACCGAATGCAGCTGTAGGCATATGTGGGTGTGTTGATTCTTACTGCCGTGCATCCAGTAGAGTCGCTACGGCCAGTTTATGACATCCTGAGTCTGGTAGAGAAGTTTTCATGCTGACACAAGATTAATTATTTTATTTAATTATAGAAGCACAAAAGTGATATCATTTCATGATAAAGACACAATAGATGATCATCGTTCATGACACAAACGTGCTCTCATGAGGTGTATGGAACAAGTGGGTGTTTCTCCTGCTGTGATGTAAGATCCTGGTACTGATGTGACTGTATGAGCACCAAGTCCTCTTCAGAGGACTCTGTCCAACAGAACATCCAAGTAAACCAGGGAGCTATGAGATAAAAACATGGGCAGCATGTGATGCAGGTCCAGCTGTACATGCTAGTGTACGATGGCAAACCGTCTGGCCTGCAGTCAGGACACGCGAGTTGTCCCTAACATTGCAGGTTTCCAAAAGAAAACAATCACCTGTAACAGCTTGTTTACTGTATATGCCCCTTGGCCTGCAACTGCAGAAAGAAAGCTGTCCATGATGGGACCAGTGCAGAGGAATAAACCTGAGCTTCCTCCTGCACTTGGGTCAAATATGGACACGCCTTTGTCCTCGTGAAAGTTTGCCTTCACTCAGACTCATGCCCTGGTGTTCCTACCATGCCAAAATATAGAAAACTGTCAGGCAATGAGTTGGAATAAAGTTGAATAAAACCTTGAAACACAGAGATGGATGATATTTTATACTTGTTGCTTTATAAACAGTCAAAGCAAACGGGGTCATTTTTGAGCCCTGAGGACCACAGGTGTGATTATGTGCTGCCATTTAAAATTTGTAAATGATTGAAAAGAAAACATTTTCACTAGAATTCAACATACAGCACTCTGTGGTTCGTCAAATAATAATAATAATAATAATAATGGATTGGATTTATATAGCGCTTTTCAAGGCACCCAAAGCGCTTTACAATGCCACTATTCATTCACTCTCACATTCACACACTGGTGGAGGCAGCTACGGTTGTAGCCACAGCTGCCCTGGGGCAGACTGACAGAAGCGAGGCTGCCATATCGCGCCATCGGCCCCTCTGGCCAACACCAGTAGGTGGTAGGGTAAAGTGTCTTGCCCAAGGACACAACGACCAGGACAGAGAGCCCAGGGATCGAACCGGCGACCTTCCGGTTAGAGATGCGATTCCCAACCCCCTGAGCCACGGTCGCCCAAATAGTCCAGATCTTCCCAAAGTGTGGGGCCTGCCCCCCCGCAGAGCCATTGCAGGGGGGCACGGTAAGAAAACCCCCCCCAAAAAAATAACCCTTGGACACTGCTAGCATCATGGACAGGTGTTTCGACGGGGTTCCCACACAAACGCAAAGCAGGAGATGAAGCATCGCCAAATATGTTTCCAAACCAACTTCCTTCCAAGCCAAAGACTAGAAAATATGGTGAAGCAAATCTTCCCTTTGGCTTCACCTGCACAAGTGCAGAGGTAGGTCTCCCCTGCAGAGTTAGTTTCCCTGCGTCCCGAGGGCCCAGCAGCGCTGGGCTCTTCAAATCACGGACAAACAGTATCCCACATTGTCTGTGAGGTTCTCAGTCATCCAGGTCATCGTAGTCAAAGGAGCTTACAAAGAAAAGCGTCTGGACTTCTTTAAGTTGCTTGAAGATGTTTCACCTCTCATCCGAGAAGCTTCTTCAGTTCTAAGGTCAAATGGTGGGGAGTCCCAGATTTAAACCTAGTGGGAGTATCCCCCCACAGAGGGACAAAAGGACCCCCTGATGATCCTCTAATCGCCTGAGCCAAGGTGTGAAACTGGGCGTGGGTCCCAATCAGCCAGAGTTTCGGGTGAGTTCATTGTGAAACCTGGCCCCACCCTATCATGTGATTTCCTGAGGTCAGATGGCCCAGGATGTGAGTGGGCGTTAAGGCGTCTGGGAAGGATCTCAAAACTGGATTATAGATGGCAGAGAGTTGGTGTCGTAAACCCCGCCTCTGTTCAAAGATGGTCGCTCACAGTGGACATAGATGCTTCTTTCACTCCTCTTTCAAACCATCTGTCCTCTCTGTCCAAAATGTGAACATTGGCATCCTCAAAGAGTGACCTTTGACCTTTAGATGCAGATGGACTGCTGAGTCTTGTCCTGTGGAGGTGGCTCTTCTGTGTTGTACCATGCGCTTGTGAAGTGGCTGTTTGGTCTCTCCGATGTAGAGGTCTGGGCATTCCTCGCTGCACTGTACAGCAAACACCACATTGTTAAGTTTGTGTTTTGGCGTTTTGTCTTTCGGGTGAACCAGTTTCTGTCTGAGCGTGTTGCTGGGTCTGAAATACACCGGGATGTCATGCTTGGAGAAAACTCTCCTGAGTTTCTCTGATACACCGGCTACATAGGGGATGACAATGTTGTTGCGTCTGTCCTTCTTATCCTCCCTCGCTGGTGTCTGAGCTTCTTTTCTGTGCCTCTTTGCTGACTTTAAGAACGCCCACCCGAGAGACCGGTGACCAGCATCGCGGAGCATGACGTCCGAGCGGCACTGAGGAGAGTGAACACAAGGAAAGCGGCGGGGCCAGACGGCATCACCGGCCGTCTGCTGCGCTGCTGTGCTGACCAGCTAGCAGGTGTGTTCACTTACATCTTCAACGAGTCCCTGGCGAAGTCTGTGGTCCCCACATGCTTCAAAAGATCCATCATCATCCCTGTGCCCAAGAACAGCAAACCCTCATCCCTGAACGATTACCGGCCAGTTGCACTGACCTCGGTAGTAATGAAGGTGTTTGAGAGGCTGCTGAAGAACATCATCTCCTCCTCCATCCCAGACACCACAGATCCGCTGCAGTTCGCCTACAGATGCAACAGATCCACAGAGGATGCCATCGCCCACGTCCTACACACCACTCTCAGCCACGTGGACAAGAAACAGGGTAACTGTGTGCGAATGCTGTTTGTTGATTACAGTTCAGCGTTTAACACAATAGTGCCCTGCAGACTGTTCACAAAGCTGAGGGATCTGGGACTTAACAGCCGTCTGTGTGCATGGGTGTTGGACTTCCTCACTGGCAGAACTCAGGTGGTGAGGGTGGGCAGGTGCTTCTCCAACAGCATCACCATCAACACAGGAGCACCTCAGGGATGTGTCCTCTCGCCACTGCTCTACTCCCTCTACACTTCAGACTGTGTGGCCACCCATGGCTCCAACACCATTGTGAAGTTTGCTGACGACACAGTGGTGTTGGGTGCCATCTCCAACAACGATGAGGCGGCCTACATGGATGAAGTGAAGAATCTGGCATCGTGGTGCCAGGACAACCACCTCCAGCTGAACGTCAGCAAGACCAAGGAGCTGGTGGTGGACTTCAGAAGGGGTCAGCACAGAGACTACAAGCCCATCATCATCAATGGAGCTCCAGTGGAGAGGGTGCAGTCCTTCAAGTATCTTGGTGTCCACATCTCCTCAGACCTGACATGGGCTGCCCACATTCAGGTCCAGACCAAAAAGGCTAGGCAGCGCCTGTATCACCTACGACAACTGAGGAAGTTCAGGGTCTCTCCAAAGATCCTCAGGATTTTCTATACAGGCGCTGTGGAGAGCATCCTCACACAGAACATGACATCGTGGTTTGGGAACAGCTGTGTGAAGGACCAAAAAGCTCTCCAGAGAGTGATCCGTACAGCAGAACGCTGCTGCAGGATTGCTCTCCCCCCGCTTCAGGACACCTACACCAGGAGATGCCGGACTAGAGCAGATACTGAAGGACCCGTCCCATCCTGGCAACAAACTGTTCCAACTTCTGCAATCTGGTAGAAGGTTCCGCATCTTCTGGGCAAGGACAGAGAGACTCAAGAGGAGCTTCTATCCCCAAGCCATCCGTGCCCTAAACACACACACCCGCCCTCTCACATCATCTATAATTGACTGAGTCAGGACTCTTCCAGACACTAAACCAAGGCACAATGTACATTTCAATTCCTTTAATTTTAAATATGTTTATATTGTCTATCCTGTAAAATAGTCAGATGTCTATTCATATTAATGTACAGAATTCACCTGCTTGCTGCTACTACTGCACATTCACCCAGTGTATATACTATATATATATCCCCCCCAATTTTTTTGCACATGTCGAGGAGCGTGTCAGGCTACATTTCACTGTGTGTTATACTTGTATAACTATGCATGTGACAAATAAAGAACCTTGAACCTTGAATTTAGGATAGCCGCAGGTTTTGAGTGCTTCCTTTACATGTGTGTGTTCCTTCTTTTTTCCTTCAGGCTTAGAGGGAACATGTTCTGCCCGGTGGTGTAGGGTCCTAATTACTCCAAGTTTGTGTTCCAGAGGGTGATGGGAGTCAAAGAGGAGGTACTGGTCCGTGTGTGTGGGCTTCCGGTAAACTTGCCGTTCTCGTCAATGTGCACAGCGCAGTCCAGGAAAGGCAAACAGTCGTCCTTTGTGTCTTCCTGGTGAACTTTTTTATCCACAGCGTTAATGTGCGCAGTGAAGGATTCCACTTCTTGTAGGGCTGTGCGATATGACCAAAATCTCATATCCCGATATAAAACATCTATCGTCCGATAACGATATAAATCACAAAAAAATTTATATTTTCTGTAAATTCTGTGAATCTCGGGTAGGTGAAGTGTTTCCAGCTGGGCGTCGTGTAGCTGGAGTTGAGTGTTTTAACCGATGCATGAAACTATACATTTTTAGACATAAGTTGTAACGGCGCCGTTTTCTTTGTGAGTATTTATTACACGGCGTGCTGCGGGGAAAAGCCTGTTCTAACGTTTGAGTCTAAGCTTTATTTTTTAGCACCTAACGGCTCTTTTTTTGCTTCTCATCCGTCAATAATACTTTTTCACGTGATTCTGTTTATTTTAAAAAAGTCTCAACAGGATCTTGAGCTTTATTGTGAAAGGTTTATGTGGAAAATAAACAAGCGGACATGCAATGGTTTTACCGTCGTTGTTGCTAACGACAACCCATAAAACCAGGCGCTTTGGGTGCCTTGAAAAGCGCTATATAAATCCATTATTATTATTATTACATCAAAGGACACCATGGTTTCATCTGGATCCAGGGTAAGTTTCTGGACCTTGTCGGTGAAGTCGGTGGAGTTCTTGATGTGGTGTGGGGTGTTCCCCACGAGAGGCGCAAGGATGGTAGCAAGGTGTTTAGCAATGTTGTAAGTGGCTGAGTTTATGCTCCTGACTATGGGTCTGAGTGGGACAGCTTCCTTGTGGAGCTTAGGAAGTCCGTAAATGCAGGGTATGGCATCCCCTGGGTAAAGGCGGTGATACGGGAGGCGGTCAATAATTTTGTCCTTTTCAAAGTCTTGAAGGCAAGCTATAACTTTCTTTTTGTAGCTGCTTGTGGGGTCTCGCTTTAGGGCTTCGTAGGTATTGTTGTCCCCGAGGAGAGTAGTGATCTTTGTATGGTTATCTGTAGTGTTTAGGACCACGGTGCATCTTCCCTTATCAGCTGGTAAAACAGTGATGTTGTGGTCTTTGCTCAGGGAAGCGACGGCCTTCTTTTCCTGTATTGTGAGGTTGGATGGAGGGACTTTGGCACTGGAGAGGGTGGCTGAGACTTTCATCCTGATTTGCTCTGCTTCTGTCTGTGATCATTTATTAGTCCGTATGGCAGATTCTGTGGCTGTGATGAGGTCCACTATGGGCAACTGTTGTGGAGAAATGGCAAGATTGAGTCCTTTGGCTAATACTCTCTTTTCAGGTTCAGTGAGAATCCACATTCTTGATTTTAATAAACACTTGATTTTTTAAACACTTCGTATGATGACTAACTGCTCCTGACATGTTGGAGATGTTTGCTCTTTATACAGTAAAGTTACAGCTGGATACAAATAACATCAGGCTGATCCTGCCACGATTTGTTCCCCGGTTCAAATCACAGACTAACAGGATCCCACAGCTGTTTATGTTTTTAAACACATTTTGCACAGAGAGGCATTTTTTGAAACATGTATTGATGCAATGTTGAACATTATTACACAGGAAAAACAACTACAGTAAAATAATCACACCGTGACGCCTCTGCCTTTCTAATGGAGGGACAGTAACTGCGTGTAAAACCTGCAGACAGTCAGATTAACAGTATTTTGTCTCTATCATTCTGCAGTTCATCTCATGTAAACAATAACGTGGCCACAGCGTGACGTGAATAAAGGCACATACCTTTGATGTTGTGTGACCAACTCTGTATTCCTCGTCCACACGGAAACACAAAAAAGAAGTTTTAAAAAATCTCAGTTTTCGGTGATTCGAAACGCCGTTTACGTGGACGAAACAGCTGCGTGTTCAAAAGTACCCGTGTAGGTGCGGACGCAGCGTAAAAGAGTTAGTCGTTTATTTTCTTACTACCTGTGATTTATTGCAGGTTACTTGTATTTGCTTAATCGTTCACTAAATGTTTGATGGATTTTTCTTGTAAAACAAAGGGGGGCCAGCAAAAAAAGTTTGGGAACCACTGAAATAGTTCAAATTATCTAAACCCTTAAATATTTTAGGCACGGTGGTTAGCACTGTTGCCGCACAGCAAGAAGGTCCTGAGTTCAATTCCAACATCAGGCCGGGGTCTTTCTGTGTGGAGTTTGCATGTTTTCCCCGTGTTTGCGTGGGTTCTCTCCGGTACTCCGGCTTCCTCCCACCGTCCAAAGACATGCAGCTTGTGGGGATAGGTTGATTGGATAATCCAAAATTGTCACTAGGTGTGAATGTGAGTGTGAATGGTTGTCTGTCCCTGTGTGTTGGCCCTGCGACAGACTGGCGACCTGTCCAGGGTGTACCCTGCCTCTCGCCCTATGACAGCTGGGATAGGCTCCAGCGCCCCCCGCGACCCTGAAAAAGGATAAGCGGAAGCGAATGGATGGATGGATGAAATATTTTATTGTCTCGTTTTATTTTCGCTCAAAAACAAAGTGTACTTTATGTAAACAAGGTCTGGTGGCCCTAAAATGTCAAATGTTGGGTAAATTTTGTGTTAATGTCTTCAGTCAAACTGTAACGCTGAACTGATTGACAATTTATACTAATTTAAAACACGCTAAAATGAAGTGGGGACATTTTTGTCCCCTGAAGACCACAGCTGTGTGGAAACCGGGAGGACAAAACCAAGTCTCAGGTGTTCCTGTGTACCTGGCATCCTGTAGAAGAGCCGCTCCCCGGCACCGTCATTGGTCTGCAGGAAGCGGCTGTCGACCGACCAGTCCAGGTGGGTGATGAAGGAGGCGGAGCGGCTGCACTCGCCTACCTTCTTGTAGCGCTGTGCGACAGCATACACGTCCACCATCCCGTCATTGGACCCGACCGCCAGGAAAGAACCATCCGGAGAAAACTTCAGCTCGTGGATCACTTCCTTCCTGTCCTTGATGTGCACAACCTCTGTCATGTCCCTGCACAAACACACGCATTAGCAGGCCTCACTAACCGGAGCACGGATGGTAAACCACCATCTTAGCCTTTTAACCCCGCCCATTTCTAAGAACCACAGCAACACACGCCAATTATGTTTAACCTGCTTAAAGACCGCTGTCACATAGCAGGAAGTGGTCTTTATCACAAAGAGCACCCGATCGTGATCAGTGGGGTCCATTACCTGTGACCGTTACCGCAGAGATTTAGGAAGCGCGAGGCCGCCAACAGTTTTCCACGTCAGCATTTGTTAACGCAGACGTCAGCTTCCCTGAGCTCGCTGGTCACAGATCGGCTTTAAGCTCCTGTTTAATTTGAGGCGATAACACACCTGTACATATTCTTATCGACAGGTAAGAGAGGTCACCTGACACGCAGCACCGTAAACGAGCCATCCTTCATGCCCAGAGCGAGCTGAGAACCGTCATTGTTGAAAGAAACGCTTCGAACGGACTCCTCCATGTTGCAGCGAGCCAGCAGAGTGTGGTCAGGAAGGCTCCAGAGCCTGAGACACAGGTGAGCAACAGGTTAGGAGGACACCAGGTGAGCGGGAGGGCGTGAGCGGTCTGCGGTGCAGTTGGACCGACCTCACGGAGCGGTCGTCACTCCCGGTGACGGCGACGGGCTGTTTGGGGTGCACGTCCAGCGCCCACAGCTCGCCCTCGCTGTGACCCTGCATCAGTAGAACTGGTTTGTCCCGGTCTCGGACCATCACCTCGAAGATTTCACTGTCCTGAGTCCCGGCCAGGATGCGGTCGGCCTTCCAGCACACGCTACGGATCGACAGACCTGAGGCAGGAAACAGGAAACTCTGGGACGGGGGCCACCAATCACAGAACTCACATTTAACAAACACATTGCTGCGTCTCAGATCGACTACTGTAACACAAAAATCCATCAGTACGCTTCAACGTGTCGAGAGCTCTGCTGCCCGTGTTGTCACGAGGACATCACAGCACGCCTGTCCTGAAGCAGCTTCACTGCTCCCGGTCAAATCTGCCATTCATTTTAAACACTCCTCCATACATGTAAGGCATACATCTCTTTCTGTTCCTTCCTCTCGTCTCGACCCTGGAATTCCCCCTCGACATCACCCCACCTATTTAAGACCGCCTACTCCATATAAATCATCCATGATCTTTTTATCTGCTACGCTTATTATTGTGTACAGTTCACGTTTTTATGCCTGTTTTATTTGCTGTACCTGTGTGCTTGGGTGTTTTAAAGGCGCTTTTAAATAACATGTACTATTATTATTATTATTAATAATAAATGTGATCACATGTGATTTGGGAATCCGGCGTCTCTGCCAGAGCCAGGTGAGCAGCAGGTAAGACTCAGCCTGCTGTAGATTCACTTTCTGTGAAGCACTGACGACTTTTTTGCCGCTGTGGTTGATCAAATACAAAACCAAAGCAGAGGCGACCCTGAGCAGGTGGACCCCGGTGTGACCCCTGAGTGACCCCGGTGTGACAGAGGGGACCAGATCAGACCTTTGTAGCCCTGCTCTGCCTCCCTCAGGTCGATCTTTGTGATGGGTTTGAAGTCCACATCCCACAGTCTGATGCAGCCGTCTCGCCCTCCGGTGGCGAATCCTTCCTCACAGGCGTGCATGCTGAAGATCCCCGCCTGCAGAAGAACAACACATTTCCCATCAGCCCCTTCCCAGCACAGGTGCAGCTGTGGGTTAATCACCTGCTCGGGTTAGGTCGGCCATGTTTGATCCTCGCGTTACCTGGAGGAGAAAGCGTTTCCATCAGGGTGGATGCTGCTCTCGAGCTCCACCTGTTTTACAGGTAAAGCTGTGTGTGTGTGTGTGTACCCCGTGTGCAGCCTGTACGGTCCTCATCAGCGTGAGTCCTCGCCACACGTAAACGTCCCCGTTCAGAGCGCCGGAGTACGTGAGCTCGTCTTTGGCCGCAGAGACGCACAGGATGGTCTGCAGGTCGCCCGTTTTCCCAAAAATCCCTCGCTTCGGAGTCAGAGCGTTGCCACACAGAGTCCAAAACTACGCACACAGGAAACAGAGAGGGCGCAGATTAGCACAGGAAGTGGTGCCAGCCATGCTGGCGTGCTGAGTAGGTTATCGACGGCGAGCAGTAGAAGGACCATTTCAACCCCATACAGGACCGTGCAAAAGTCTTGAGCCCCCACACTTCTTTATCTGTCGCAGGAAAATAAGAATCAGTTTTTACAACTCAAACAAGCTGTGACCCTGAATCCTCCCTTAGTGACGCTGCAACAGGTGCAGGCTGCTGTTATTCCCATGATGCACTGGGTGTTTCTTCTTCACTCACTATGTGTTACAGACCTCTCTGCACTGAATCATACCTGTTATTAATCTGTCTCTCTTCCACAGCATGTCTTTGTCCTGTCTTCCTTCTCTCACCCACCTGTGAGTCAACATCTGAACATTACCTGATGCTGCACAGAGTGAGGAGCAGCTCAAGAGTTTTGCACAGCTCTGTACGTGACAGAGGTGTGAGGTCGAAATCATCACCGGGTTTAAACGTCTCCTGTACTTTTCAGCCGCACATCGTCCGCTGCAGGCGGGATGATGTGCGGCTGATCCCAGCACCCACAGCTGCCTGTGAACCCCTCCGTCATGTGACCACCCAGGTGCTGCCCCACCTTGATGTGCTTGACTCCGCAGCTGACCAGCCGGCCGGCCTGGAACGGATCCCAGCACACGTCGAAGATCTGTGGGAAAAGCGAGAGCGGCGTTACTCCTCAGGTACGCCTGCAGGTAAACGCGTGTGCGCCGGCACGTACTCTGTCCGAGTGTCCGGTGGCCGTGGCGAGGACACGTCCTCTTCTCCAGTCCCAGACGCACACCGTGTTCTTGGCATCCAGGCCAACTGAGGCCAGTCGCTATGGCAACAGAAACAAAGAGGGAACGTGATTGGACGATACCTTTACGATGAAACGTAAAGGTGACCCACTCGCCTTCGCCTCACTTCCTGTCACATCTCCTGCTCTGGCCGCGCGCATTCACACTAAACGTAGAGCTCCTACTGACGAGCTCAGTGTTCGCAGTAATCTCTCAACACTGGGTCAGTGTGATGTCACAGAGAGGCGCCAAAAGCCCCGCCCACTTGCTTGTGTCTGTTGATGAGGTGCAGCCAATGACAGGAAAGTTATCTTACAGCAGGAGGAGCTAAAGCAGCGGGTGTCAGACACAGGAGGATTATTCTGAAGCGCGACTCATACAAAGCTGCTGTAAAACTGCTGCTGCTGATAAAGTTTCAATTCAAAATCAAAGATTTTATTTTTTAAATTGTTAAAACTTTAATCTGAGACGGGTGGTTAGAGTGTCGGTAACATCGTTACCTGTCCATCAGCATCGAAGGCGAGACAGGCCACTCCGTGGGTGTGCACGTCCCGCAGGATGGACACCGTCTGCATGGCGTACGTGTCCCAGATACAGATGTACGGGTCCTTCCCCACCTGACCTGTCGCCACCTGGATCTTATCAGGATGCATGGCCAGACTGAGAAAGGAAGAAGAAGAAGTCAGCAGTTCTGACACCGATCACAGCGACCGACGGCTGAGCTCGACTTCCTGTCTCCACACTGTGACCTCATCACTAGGGCTGTCCTGGCAGCTGCTGATGAAGCTTTTAATCGTTCAGCGGCCACCCGGCCATCTGTGAAGGGGGGCGGACACGCAGCAGCACACACGTGTGTTCACCAACACGCCTCAGGGCTGGTGGAAGTAAGCACTTAATGCTGGTTTTTGTGATGGTTACAGACATGCAGTGGCTTTCTGTTTTTAAAGGTCCTCCAATCAGAGAGTCCCATTAAAACAGCTGAACTGGGCGTGAGCGCCCCCTGTCTGCAGAGCATCACAAACACTGAAGGAAACCTAAAAACAGAAAGATTCCAAAGGAAGTTCTGAACTGTGTTAAAGCTGAAACAAAATGCTGAGCAGGAGGAAGTCAGGACGAATTTAAGCACACGGGTTTGACGTGTCGCTCCAGATCCAGTGAACACTGACAAAGTGCTGCAGGGCACGTAAACACAACAGCTGACACAACAGTTTTCTCCTGGACTCTGGAGATATTAAAGTTTCCACACTCACACGATGGCACTACCTGCAGCTTTGCCGTGGACTGTGGCAGATTCTCTTTTGTAAATTAACTCTAATCTTTATTTCAATCCTGAACCCGACTGCACAGACCATCAAACATCTGTCAGCCCACGAGCAGACCCACATAATCCTCCGTTATATCACCAAGAATGAGCAAAATTCACAGAACAAGTTTCAGTTTGCGTCAGTCACGCCTAAAACCTGAGACCAGAAACCGTCTCTCAGGTGTTCACGGAGCTCACATATCAGCTCCTTTTCTATATATAAATTGGGCCAGAGGAGTCGCCCCCTGCTGGATGTTCGAGAGAATGCCATTCTAAGTATTTACGTCCAATTTCCATCCTCAGACTAGCTTCAGAAACCCTTTCCAGCTCCTCCAGAGGTACACCAAGATGTTCCCAAACCAGCCGAGATGCCGGGGATCTGCCACGGGGCCTCCAGGTGACACACCTCCCCAGGAGGGTCCAGGTCAGACTCCTCTCTACTCTGAGCTCTACCTGAAACACCGAACCCTCACAGCATCTCTGAGCCTGCGCCTAGACACCTTCAGAGGGAGCTTGTGGTCACAGGTGAGCAGAAGTACGTAGATCTAGCAGTAAACAGATCGCTTCACTTTCAATTCATCTGTCGACCTCCTGCTCCACCCTGCCCTCACTGTTAACGTACTCTGGGAAACCTAAACTCCTCCTCCAGCCGATGACCAGGACCTCTGTGAGCAGGAGGTCAAGTGAGGGAGAACCGAAACGAGGTCCAGAAACCATCGAAGCCAAAGTCCTTCATCATCTGTATCCGCTTACAAATTCTGTCATCTCTGACAGAAATGAGACCAGAATCATGAGGTGAACCCAACAGGCCCGATACCCCGCACTCCTGAAGCGCCCCTTATAGGACACCCTGCAGAATGCGGTCAAATCAGCTGGACAAACTGCTCAAGAAGTAAAGAGCTGTTCTGCAACCTGAGTGAGAACCACACCGGTCTTCTGAATCCGAGGTTCTAACTGAACATTCTCTGGACGTTGAATCCAGCGGCTGATGGACCGACCTTTAAATCCTAAAACCCGCCTGCATGGCGTCAGAGTTCACCAGCACCGTCACAGGGTTCCTCCTCACCTGATAATGTCATCGTTGTGTCCCAGGTAGAACTTCTGTGTGTGCTCTCTGGTGTTGAAGACCACGCCCACCCCGGCCACGAAATACACCACATCTTTCCCAGCTGTGTAGTACAGGTTGTTTCGGCACTGGTGGCCCCGGTACCCGTGGATCCACTCCAGCCTCAGCTGGCAGCGCGGCGCTGTTTTATCTGACATGTCTGCTCAAACCCACAAACTCAAACATCCACAGAAAAACCGTCTCAGAGAAATGTATCTGCTGGAGCCGCTAATGTTGCCAGGAACTGCCGTCCATCTTTGCCTACACTTCCCATGATTCCAGAGGCAGCTTTGGCACCGCTCACTAATGTGTCAGCAGGAAGGTTGTAAGGGTCTTCTTCTGCGCTTTTCACAGTAAAAATCCCGAGTGGAGTCAGCGCCGGGGCCAGAAACCTCTGACCGACACCTGAACACACCTGCTCACCTGAAGACTTGCTCAGGTGGATTTTATGATGATGGAAACCGGAACGACTGTGAATAAACTGAGTGCTGCTGAGATAAAATCAATGTTTGCTAAATTCAGACGACCTGAGACAAAATCACAGAATTTCAAAATCATAAAGACCAAATTCAGCTGATGAAAATTTAACAGTGAGTTTATGTGTTTTAACTAAATAAAAGGCGGCGGTCTAAACCCTGACGTTTCCAGCTTCCATGTCCGACCTCAGAGACACTCCCGGAAATGTAACTTCGAGCTGTTTGTGGGCGTTTTAATTCCGACCCGCAGCAGACAGACCGGACCGGGTCACCGTTAGCGGCTCCTCCCGGCCTCCGTCCGTCAGGCGCAGATTTAAATCACAGCAAATCCTCCGCCGTCTGCGCCGATCCGCAGATTACTGCGCACATCTACCCGCGACCGTCCACACCCGCCCGCACCGGCGCTCCTGCTCGGGCACCGGTCACCAGCAGCCCTAAAACCGTGAAAAACCGCGACCCGAGAACGGAGCGCTAACGGGACCGCCGAAAGCATCAAGCCGGAAACCGTGAAACCCCGTGCTTCCCGCGGTCACCTTCAAAATAAAAGCACCAGATACATAGCATCGCATTTATCGTTCATTCATCGCAGGATTGGCGCAAACACGAGCTCTTCTCTCCGTTTGTGACTAAGAGACACAAAAATAACGCCTGAGAGGTCATGACGTCACACATATGCTTCAGCTTCTTATCTCACGATGAGGCTTACATCTCTTTTAAAAGCCTTTCATTTATTTACGCCCTCATTCACTTCACCTTTAGTATAGCTTAAATATGTAATGTGTCTTTGTGACGTTTACAGTCAGACGTCATCAGATGCTGAGAGGAAGTCAGACTAATCTGAAAGCGTTTTTCCAGCTCAGCAAAAATAAAAGGAAGCTAGTTTCTCCTGACGGCCTTCATGTGGTTCAATACACGCAATGACCCAACAGCAACCAGTCCTCCAACCAGCAGCTCCCAGACTATGGACAACCTTGTCTGGTCTGAGGTCACCTGGAGGTCACCACCTGAAACTTGGTCAGCAGCGTGCGCATGCAGCCGATGTGCATCTGCAGGTGCGAGTCCAATCACGTGACTGCAGCTCATGCAGGAGTCTGGTTCAGATTCTGCAGCCCTCGACAGGGAGGCGTGCACACATCAGCACCTTTTAAAAAAAATCTCAGTTTCATCCAGTTATGAATTTGACGTTTATTCACAACATAAAGACTTTTATTTTTTAGTCTTTTATTTCTGAAAAAACCTTTACCTGCACAGACATCTAAATGTTTGTAGGAAAACACAGCTGTACTCTAAAGTCAGTGTGAACCAGCACTCACAGGTGTGCTGAGGATTAAGGTCCGCAGTTTTCTGCACGCAGGCGCAGTGAGTAGTGACCTGCTCTTCCCCGTTTTTCTCCGTGATGAACAAACACCTCTGAGCTCTCTGCACGCTTAATCCGATTTTTTTTCCACAATCCTCCGTTTTCTTTTGAAGGTCACAGCTTCCGGTTTCCCTCGCGGACACCTCCGCGAGCTTCCCGCCTCTGAGCAGGTACGGTCTGATTCAGCGTACAGCCGCAGTGCATGCTGGGGGTTGTAGTGTTTTTAACGAGCAGCTCACTGCATCCATGCCACGTTAGGCGAGATTTACCTGAACCCTCCAATGAGCGTCATCACTGGGCAGGAACTATATCTGTAACTCACCTGTTTGCTCTAACACCTGCAGGCCACAACCAATGAAAACTTCAGTGGACCTGGAGATTTAAAAAGGGACCGCCCCCAGCATTAAACCAGGGCCAGGGACCAGCCTCCCCCCCCACACACACACACACACACCACAGAGGCAGACACATGCAGACACAGATGGGGAAGGGGGGGCCTCGGGTTTGTGCGGGTTTCTAACTGAGCACGTGCAAAGACAACAGGAAGCTACTGAGTAAAGGTTAAAAGCTTTAATGACATCACACATATGTGACAGAGAGCTGTAAGTCTACAGGTGCAGGTTCATACATGAGAAGCTGTAATGATCGAAGGTCGGCTAAATATCGGCGAGCGTCTTCATTCCTATTGGTGCAGCTCTGATTGTGCAGGACGACGGCGGGGCTTCCATACATGTTCGCTACGATAGATCTACAGTGACAGGGCAGCACGGGTATCAAAGAGCAGAAATCAGCGTGGTGCGAAGAGCCGATGACGAGCAAGCAACCTTCACCAGTCTAGACCTCGCTCCCGTCGGCGGGACGGCGAGCTCCCTCCGCCCTCGCCAACACCACCTGACCAGAGATACAAAAGGAGGAAGTCGCAGTTTCGCGCTCAGGTCGGAGCCTGATGAAGCATGCAGGTGGACGTTTCTAAATCACCACCTCCTTGAAGGCGATTGGGCTGTCTGACAAAAACAACATGGCTGCAGAGAAACGAAAACAGAAATTATTGGAATGAAATGCACTGTTGGTCCAATTTCTCCGCGGCAGGAAACGGCGTCTGTGACGAGGAAACGACAAAAAATAGAAAAATAACAAATTTCAGAGAATAAAAAACAAACAATAACAGAACATTAGCGTGTGGTCCCTGATGATGTCATCAAAGAAAGAGCGAGATGCAGTGATGATGTCACGGCCGGTAATGCACACGGCGACAGCGGCCTCATTCGCCAACGATGACGCGGCGTTACATCAGGCACTCCGACTCGCCGCCAAATGACCGACACGCGAACAAAAATGCAGAACGCACAAAAACGAGGCGACGGCGGGCTTTGGCGAAACGCTCCTTTGCTCCTCGTCTCCACCGCCTCAGTCTCTGGGATTGGCCGATTTTAAAGGTGAACCATTCAGCGGGGAGGACTGAGGCTCGCCAGCCTCAGAGAGGCGGCGGTTTCACCCGCTCCAAGTCGATCTTCAGGAAGCTGGCGGCGCTCTGAGGCGGCCTCCAGTTCTCCCCGGCTGATGGCGGCCCATGAGAAATGAGGCGCCTGTAAATGTGGCGATGGGTGCGTCAGAGCACCTGGGCGGTTTCGCCAAAGCGTCTCGCTGCCGCGCTCTACTGCTTCTTCTTGCTGAACAGGCTGAAGCGCTTCTCCTTGTCTTTGTCTTTGTCCTTCTCGCGCTTTCCGGGGCTCGACTCGGTGGTGAGCGTGACGGTGGCCGGCAGCGTGTGAGCACGCCCGGAGGCAGGCGTGCCAGGGCTGCTGCCCTGGATGTCAGAGCGGTCTGCGGCGCCGGCGTTCAGGATGGCCTGGATCCAGGTACTCATCTCCTCCTGCGGAGGCACGTAAGCAGTTAAGCAGGAACGCCACACAGGCGAGCGCTTCCACAAATCTGAGCAAAAATCAAACTCACCTCGTCTTTGGCTTGGAACAGGTATTCGTTTCCATCGGTGATTCTGAAAGAGCGAGAGGAAGACAGGCGTGAGTGGAGGAACCGTACAAACGCACCAAACCAAGCCTCAGGTCAAAGGTCAAAGGTTAAAGTGCCGGCTGTGCTGAGATACACATCCAGGTGTGTTTAAGCGCTCAGGTGATCAGCGTTCTTTGGACCAATGACGGTCACCGGGCGAAGTCTGAACGACCATCACCCTGACAACCAGTCACAGCATCAGTTCCTGCAGGCTGCAGCTGTGATTGGGCTAACAAAAAAATGAGGCAAAGGAGGCGGAGCTGCGTCCTAATGTTGCGGCTGAGAAATGTGTTGGTGAGTAACCATGGTAACGGGATGCTGTCAAACAATAAAACATGTCAGGTGGTTGTTGTAACACTCACAATGTCTGTGTGCGTGTGTGTGCGTGTGTGTCTGTGCCTGTCTGTGTGCGTGTGTCTGTCTGTGTGCGTGTGTCTGTCTGTCTGTCTGTGTGTGTGTGCATGTGTGTGCGTCTGTGCGTGTGTGTGCATGTGCGTCTGTGCGTGCATTTGTGTGCGTCTGTCTGTGTGTGTGTGCATGTGTGTGCGTCTGTGCGTGTGTGTGCGTCTGTGTGTGTGTGTGCATGTGCGTCTGTGCGTGCATTTGTGTGCGTGTGTCTGTGTGTGTGTGTGCATGTGCGTCTGTGCGTGCATGTGTGTGCGTGTGTCTGTGCATGTCTGTTCATGTGTGTGCGTCTGTGCGTGTGCGTGCGTGTGTGTGACAACGTCTACATGTGTTTTTGTTGCGTACGCTGCGTCTAGCTCTGACGCTGTGTGAGAGGCTTGTCTAGCACAGACCTATTGCTGGAACAATCAGAGACAATTCTGCTACAATGGCAACAGCGTTGGACAGCAGGCAGAGCTCTGTGTGAGCTCGTGCACGAGGGGGAGGACGAGACGAGCGCTGTTCCTGCTGCTCGAACCCCCCAGTCGCTCTCAGTCAGCTCCCCCGTAGCACTGCTCTTTATTGTGGTTACATGAATATGCATAGGCCCATTAACATATGACATCTTACACAGGCATGCATGTGAACAAAGAGTCTATGCATACGTGTAGGTATGAGTGTGTGTGAATGTGGGTGTGTGTATGTATGTGTGGGTCAAGATGTGGCCCTGTGAACGCCTCCTTAAAAAGCCGGTGCCAGGAGTCCAGCGGTCCCCTAAACAAAGGGCTCTTATACTTAAACAGATACAGAGTAGGTGTCCTCCTATACCATCAATCAGAAAGAGAAGGTACGACCTCGCTCATGACCTTAGGCTGTGTGTGTGCCAGAACACTCTGGAAGGCTCACAGAGTCTTTGCAGACTACTGAGGATCAGACCTCTATCATTATACAATTGATTATATATTTCTAAGCATAAATGACAATCCATCAATATAAACCTAACACTGTGAAACAGTAAAATCAGCTGATCGTTACATCAAAAATGAGATCTGGAGTTTGATTGGCTCGGCCACGACAGGTGAGGCCTTTGTGGACAGGTGACCTCAAATCAAAGCTGTAGTTTTTTCTCGTGCAGCTTTAACAGAACCAGGAAGTGCGCCCAGCACACCTGACACATCACATCAGAGGTTCTGTGACATCATCACTGTGATGTTGACTACTTTATTATATTCTAAGAATATTTGTTCAAACAAACTGGAACTTTCCAGCTTCACGGAGACGCTGCGACCAGCGGCGGCGTTTAATGTGAGACGTGTTCAACTTGTGTCCAGACTACACCTGACTTCCTGCTGCGCTTGGTACCTGAGTTTGAAGACGTGTTTCTTCTTCTTGTAGTCCGAGGCGACGTCACACGTGGCGTCCTTCAGGCTGATGGGGAGCTCGTTGTGGTACGGCACGCCCTGGCTCGCCGCCTTGCCGTCCTTGTAGAAACCCATTTCTTTGTTGTTGATGATGCAGTACACGTTGTGCCACGACCTGCGAATCACACAGCAGTGGGGTCAGGTGACGGGTCAGGTGACGTAGCTGCGTGCGAGGCACTTCCTGTGGGGCGTGGAGCTCACCTGTTGGAAGCCTTCTTGTTGTGGCCCTCCCACTCGTGTTTGCGGTGCAGCAGTCCCTCCTGGGGCGAGCTGGAGTCCCGGTTCTTGGTGGGCAGTGTGGTCGACTGACTTTTAACCTT